TTTAATATTAATAATAATAGTAATCTTTACATTTGATGATATCTTAATCATCCATAGCATGTACCGAAGTACCACTACTATCATTAAATACCATAGTACCACCAATATGAAAGCCAAAATATAATGATCGGAATAACTCGAAAACCGCACATCCTGTATATTTGCTAAAATGTTGCGTTAGCAGTCAATATATCTGATACACTCTGGATTAGTTCCACAATTATTATCTGCAATCCGTCCCATATTTTAGCGTTGTTTGCCGATAATGAATGAGTCTTCAAAATCCAATCAGCATCGATGTGCATATAGAAATTTTGCCGTGATTGATGAAAATACTTTACCAGGGTGCCATGTGTACACTGTCTATTCGTCAAAGCTCACCTAACGAACGAAACGGCTATCGAAATAGTTTGGGGTCTAATTAAAGGTGATGGAAAATCGGCATTGATGTCCGAGTGTTTTTCATTTCGTCACTTAACGATAACTGCCCGGATTATATCCCTTGAAAGGCGCATTTTGTTCAAAACTGAACTGTCGGATACTCGAAATGAGTAGGCAAAAATTGTAGACTGTTTTCACATGTATATTATACAGAGTGTATCGAAAAAAAATTCCTTTAATTTCTAGAGCAAATTTAATAATAAAAGAGCAAAACTATAGGAAATATGTGTACGAAAATACCGCTATCAGCAAAGTTTTTTATTAGTTCTAAAACGGTTAAAAATTCCTAAATGAAATTGAGAAATTAAATTTCAATACCTAAAAATTAGTTTTAATACATTTGTTTATGTATAGACATAAAGCATACAAAATAAATTAACCGAAACTCAAAACCTAATATTTAAGCAATAAATAGTTGAAGTTGTGACAATTGGTTATTTCTTTTAAACAACACTAAACGCTCGGGAATTATCGTGACGTCATACCGCTGCTGTTCGATCGATACGGTGAGAGTTTTATAATGTTATTCTCAGGTTATAGAGAAATATGCTATATACGTTTATTTTTGGCTCATGTAAATATGTGCTTGTATTTAATCAACTCCAGTTTGCATTTGTGCTTAGTGTGCTTACATGATAATAATGAAAGCAACACAAGAACAATATTATAACTCGTCATCGTGTTTGTGTACAACCTGTAAAACGCCAGATAAACTTTTTATGCGTCTACCAGAAAATAAAATCCGTCGTTATTAGTTCACATTATGTTCAGGTGTCACTTTAGCCTTAACCGTCCGAACATTTTAACTTGCACCCATCCCATTGCAGTCTGTATAGGAATAGCTTTTTGATCTATATAAAATAAAGAACACTTTAGGTTATTGATGGCAATATACTTTAAAATCAGTATTTAGGTTTTCACTGGTTAAAAACAAATCTTTTTGCTTTTTTTAGTGAATAATTAAAAAAAAAGAGATTCCTTTTGAACTTTAAAAATTAGAAAACGTTAAACCGATTATAATATTATATTTGTTAATTACTAGTTGCAAATTTTTCTATAAACATACCTTTTAGCTTTTACACCGTGAATATCATCAAAAGAAAAACTTTCGGTGATTTGTATGTAAAATGTCACCGCAAACATATCCACTAAAGGTAAATTATCAGATTGACCTTTTAAAAAGTCGGCTTCGGCCATTTTTAAAACTTTCTTTTTGATACTAAATACAAGATAACAAAAGCAACCGACAGGATCAAAATTAAAATAAAAAATTAAAACCACCAAGAGGAACGCGTTCTTCTTCTTCTTAAAGTGCCTGTCCTCTGTGGACGTTGGCTATCACGTTGGTCCATATTACTTTGTTTACTGCGGATCTGAATAGGCCTGTTGATGTCATTCTAGTCCATGCACGTAGGTTCCGCAGCCACGATATTCGTCTGCGTCCTGCCGATCGTCGACCCTCTATTTTCCCCTGTAAGATGAGTTGGAGTAGGTGGTATTTCTCATTGCGCATAATGTGTCCAAAGTATTCCAGTTTTCTGCGTTTGATGTGTGCTAGGAATTCCATTTCTCCTCCGATGCGCTCAACGACCGTTTTATTTGTCACATGATGTACCCACGAAATTCTGAGGATGCGGCGGTAGCACCACATCTCGAAGGCATCTATATGTTTGCACGAGGCATCGGTAAGGGTCCATGCTTCTGTCCCATAAAGGAGGACCGAGAGAACATAACAGTTCAGGACCCTTATTCTAGTGCGGACGCTGAGGGATAGGTTACAGAGTATGTTTCTCATTTTGTTAAATGTGCTTCTTGCTTTTTCGATTCGGCACTTTATTTCTCGAGAGTGGTCCCAATCTTTGTTCAAAGTACAGCCCAGGTATGTAACTGTCTCTGCTGTTTTGATGGCTTCGTTGTTTGCAGTAAATTGTAGGTTTCCAATATCGTTTTTACTGATAATTAATATTTGTGTTTTTTTACAGTTTATCTTCATACCGTATCCTTCGCATGCAGTCCCCACTCGGTCCACAAGTCTCTGAAGCCCCTCAGCAGTGTCGGCCACAAGAACGGTATCATCCGCATATCTCAAGTTGTTTATAATTTGACCATTTACTACAAGTCCGTCCTCTGTATCATCCAATGCTTCCTTGAATAGATGTTCTGAATACACGTTAAACAGGAGAGGCGACAGTATCCAGCCCTGGCGCACTCCCCTTCCAACGCTAAATTCTGCTGACGTTGTGTTTTCTACTCGAACCATAGCCTTTTGTTGTAAGTATAGTTTTGCTAGGATCTCCTTGTCTCTGTTGTCCATTCCTGATTCTCGTAGCATTGCGATGAGCTTATCGTGCCGAACCCTGTCGAAAGCCCTCTCGAAGTCTATGAAACAAGTAAAAACGTCTGTATTGACGTCCCGTGCTCGTTGGATCAGAACTTGTATGGCGAACAAGGCTTCTCTAGTGCCAAGTCCTCTCCTGAAGCCAAACTGATTAGCACTTATGTTCTCGTCGAGTCGTTTGTAAATTCGTGCTTGTATTATATTGAGGAAGGCCTTTAAAGCATGACTCATCAGGCTTATAATTCTGTACTCTGAGCATTTAGTTGCGTTCGCTTTCTTGGGTAGCGGGATAAATGTTGACATCAGCCAATCTTTTGGCAGTTGGCCATCTATATAGATTTTGTTAAAAAGGGTGGTTATCAGTTTTATTTGTTCGGAGTCCAGTAGCTTCAGGACTTCTCCATGTATTTGATCTGGTCCAGGGCTTTTGTTGTTTTTTAACCTTTTGATAGCTGCTTCCACTTCTTCTTGTGTGATGGTAGGTCCTTCAGTGTTAACCGTTGCAGCCACATTTTTTCCTCTCCAAAGAGTTTCTGCATATATTCTTTCCATCTTGCTAGTTTTTTGTCGACTTCGGTGATGGTGTTGTTGTCTGAGTCGAGGAGAACTCCTGTATTCCGTCTTTGGAATCGTCCTGCTGCTTCTTTTATTTTCTTGTGAAGGTTAAAACTATCGTGTTTGCCTGCAGTATCTCAATTTCAGCACATTTTTCTTGCAGCAACTGTTCCTTGGTCTCTTTGATCTTTCTCAGAACTCTCCGATGCACTTCTCGGTATTTTTCCGTATCCCTGTTTCTATATTGTCTCCTTTTTTCCATAAGTTCCAGTATAACATCCGTCATCCATTCCTGTCTCTTCGCCTGTTTATCCTGCCTCAGCTCTTCTTCCGTGACGGAGACATGGATGTTTTTATTCGCGTTGTCGTTCTCCAATGGCTTCTCTATGCGACCGTCCGGCTGGCACGTACTCCTACCAGCGAATTTGCCTCACAACTGGTTAAATTTTACAATTTTTAATTGTAACGTACTTTTATAAGCCATATTCTTCAAAACAAAATTTCGTTCAAGTTCCCTATTATTCTATATAGGAGACAATAACGGTTAAATGTATAGTTCATTGGGCTATAGATTTAATCTTGATCCTATTCGAGCGAATATACTGTAATACAAAATTTGCTGATGATTCTTAAACACTTTTAAATATGCTTATTATATTTTTTGCTGCAAATTAGTACATTTATACAATTAAGTAGGTAGATAGGTGTATCTAAACCTTATTAAGAGAACTGTCGTCAATTATATTGACATATTCCTTTTAAACATTATATATATGTAATCTTTGAAAAACTGATTTCAATCGCATTATCAAAATTCCTCTTGCTTGTTCCGGTAACGAGAAACAGTTGCGACTTTACCTTTTTTAAAAATTTGCTAGATCTGTTAATTGTTCCCGCGCGTATTTTTCGTTTTGGGTTTTAAAATATTTTGTCATTTTTTTGTTTGAAAAAAAAATTAAAGCTGAAAAATAGATACTTTTTATTGACCCTGTATATTACTTTTTGCAAAACTTCTGCGTCGGTTTTTGCTGAGTCGAATTTGCCGACGTTCCGCCAATCATCCTGTTGGCTTCTTCAGAGCTTGGCTGAAACTTTCAGTTGGTGATTGGTGAAACCTCAGCAAGTTCGACTCAGCAAAAACCGACGCAGGAGGAATCCAGAAGTTTTGTAAAAAGTATTACAGTAGCCTGTGGAAGTTTCTTTGAAAAATTACCCTGTATATTATTTTTAAAATGAATAAAAGATTACCCTAATTCAAGGCTGATGAGATTTACGTTCAAAAAGTGATAAAATTAGCGATACCTATACAGAAAATATCAATTTAAAACCAAAATAAAATAAATAAAAACATAAAAAAATCTCAATTTCCTAATATACGTTTTTAATATTTTACGTATAAAAAAATTAGTTAAAGAAATAATTAAAATATACAATAATAATAAATGAAAAGCCTTTTTTTCATTTTGCATAAAACCGCCCACAATTTTTGCCGTGTTGGATGGCCGGCAGTTTTGACTAAGTTGATTTGTTACGAGTTGAATGTTACTGGTGAAGTTTTGAACCGTGAATATAAAAATTACGGACAACAAAGTGCTGCAATGTGTGGTTAATGGAACTTCTTGTAACAATTCGTTATTTTGTAATTCAAACTTTCTGTTTAATTTAGACATCAACGTTGGAGCATGTGTTTTGCAAGCGGGTATCACAATAGCTGGACGAACTTTTTTTGCTTCAATAAACTGGTCCTAACCAGAGAAACGTAAGTAATAGATAGTAAGTTAAACATTTATTTAAAGACTACAGGTTATTTTGGTTTTCTTCAGTACATAAAATTGCGAAATTATGAACAATTTTTCCAGTGTCTCTTTCGAATAATTAAAAATGTTAGCAATAAGATTAGCCTTTCGTAAGAAATTTCATAACTTATATTAATTTTCTTAAAAATGGTTGTATTCATTCAATTGCAATTTTTTTCTGTCAGTGCGGTCTTCTACTCTTTTTACGTTGTTCGACTCTGAAACGAAGAATTATCCAAATCCATAAGTGGTTAAAAAATTAAAAAATTCTTTCACGACTGTGCCAACTTTCATTTATTTTCCGCGATTATTATCTGAAAGTTGTCAATACTTCAACACCCTTTATGGATAATAAACGAGTAGTGAATATCCAATCAGCGGCTGATGTGCGCTGTGATTGATGGAAATGCTAGAGCGTTGTGCCTCGTGCATTTATCAGAAAAAAAAACGCATAAAATTGCCATTAAAATTGTTCGTAGCTTTTTCGAAGGCTGTGTTCAGTTTCTGACATGTGTATTAAATTTACCACTAAGGAAAGAGAAAAAAAATATTTATATTATTATTATTAATATTTCCACGAAACATATTTATAGGTAAATTGCTCAAGAGAAAATGTCGAAAATAATGTTTTCAGTATTCGCAATTAAAAGAAATGAATAAAAATATTATTGAAAAATGTCTCACTAATTAATGAAATTGTAGGTCAAATTATTATTTTTTCAATAATTAACCGTACTTCATCCTTCATCCTATCCTATTTGAATAAATGTGGGCTGCTTATACGAATAGCTAACGGCGTCCCCTGTGCATTGTCGTGTTTTTTCCACTTAAAAGATGGCGTTGTCATATATTTTCTATATTAGTTGCCAAAGTTGACTTCCAATTAAAACGGAGTGTGTCAATTTTTAATTTTAAGTTACCTCATTCCTGAAGAACTTCACCAAGCAATAAAATGATACAAAATAAATATGAACTAAAAGTTCAGATTTCCACGAAATGATATATATTCACACGACGGTTGTTTCCACAACACCTTGTCTTTATCAAATGTGATTTGATTTATTTGATTTTATTTATCAATGTGATTGATTATATAATGTCGTGAAAATCTAAACTTTTATTTCTCATTTATTTTGTAAAATGGATTTTCATCAAGTAAAAGCCACCTCAGTGCAATTAATTCAAGATGAGGTTTTCATATTTTGAAAATCTCGCCCAAGACCCATACGATTTGTACCATATTGTACTTTGTAATTTAAATTGCATACCGACTCTCACTAATCTTACGAAGAGACATGTTCTTTATAGTTTGGAAAGTTCGTTGATAAGTTCGATCATATGCACGCCACATCAGTTGCCTTTCATATTTAAATCAGACCTAGAAATCGAAATATTCCACCAAAACTTTAAACTTGCCTTACTCGTCAGTTTTTAGTTCCCTTTGAGCAGCCAGAAAGTAAATTTGCATTACAAAATTGGTTTCGAGTAAATCTAGGATGCGGAATAAGAATATTTATGGCAACTTGCGTTCGTTATTCGTCTCTTATTTTCAACGCGCGCTTCGTCAATTGTATTCAAAATGAGCAGACGCGAGACACAAGCAGAGAATAATTTCAAACTAAGAGTTTCTCCAAGCAGCCTGAAAATGTCGAACCGGAAAATATTTGAAGAAAATTTCCATGAAATTTAAAAATCATTTTTCGCCGCGTTACCGGTTTTAGCGTGGCATCGAGTCGGCTTCGCTGATTGTATTTCGATGTACCGGTGAACAATTGAAAATTTTTACGTGGAATAAATTGCAATTTTAGGAAAAACAAAAGCCACGAACTTCTTTCTACAGACAACCGCCCCAGGAAATAGTTAATATTAGAACATAGTAGGTTGGATCCAAGAATCGTAAACCTAATATTGCCTAATCCGCCAAATCTGTCCGCAAGTGCAATGCGAAAACTCTCGCTGGCTGTGACGTAGGTGGAGTCCTGTATTGGCGCGTTTACTGTGTAAATGCATGGAAATAATCTAAAACTGACCCGAGTTTCGATGGACTTTGAGTATTTTGAGTAGCTAATATAGCATTTTGTTTGGATAATCACTTTCATTTAATGTCAACATTAAATCGTTTTAGTACTTAGGTAGGGTAGGGTCACAGGTAGGGTAAAAATAATACTATTGCAATCAAGTTTGACTTATATGTATTCCCTTGAAATACATATATTAATTAAATATTGTTACACATAAATACATAAAACTAGCGAACAAAACGATTTACTCGTAAAACTTTGTGTTTTACGGCATTCTACGAGTTTAAAAATACAAAAATCAACAAATACTTATAAACTAGAAATCCCTATTTTTGGATATATTAAAGAACATATTAAAGAACAAAGAAAATATATTAGGCATACATAACAACTATTTATAGGTGGTAGGTAAATAATATGTATTTATACATACCCTCGTATGTACATAATATAAAAAATACATATTACTACATATACTTAAATCTTTATTTTACAATTTTACCATACTTTCTAATTTTTTTTCTGCCAGTATCATCTTGCAAAGATTTTCTGGACGGGGTTCTGGCATGGGTTCTGGAGATGGATATTTCTCTAGAATTTTACTTGTGGCATTCGATGTTGTTGCTAAAAGCTCAGACAATACCTGCTGAGCTCCTTTTTTGGCATTTTTGGAATGAAGTCTTTTTGATCTAGATAATCCTGCTTCTGGTTAAATAATAATAGGGTGGGAGAACAGCAATTTTTTTTTAGAATATTTTTTAAAGGTCAACCTAAAATTTAAATTTTGTGGTGAATTTAATGTGTAACTCAAGACAAAAAAAACATAATAACTCATTTTGTAAGTATCTTTCGTAATCGCTTTTTACAAAACTTCTGGATTCCTCCTGCGTCGGTTTTTCATCCTTCAGAGCTTGACTGAAACTGTTTGTCAAAAACTGACGCAGGAGGAATCCAGAAATTTTGTAAAAAGCATTACAAAATGAACTGAGCAGCCATAGCTTTTATCTGGATTAAGTTTGTCCTCTCTTCTACATCGAACTATCCACTCGTTCCGAATAGTTCGGGATACTAGATCTTTCCCTTTGGGAAAGCGATGAAAACTACATTTTCGAGAATTTGCTTTTTCATCAAAATAGTTGTTATTGCACTCATACATGGCACATCTCGTTCCAAGCATTCCTAACTATTTTTTGATGTAACTGAAAAAGGTAAAAGAAATGTATTTTTTACCTTTACCTATATTATTATGTGTAATATTTTGAGCTTACGTCCTAACTAATAACACCGCTAATAAGCAGCACGAACACAAAACTTTTATGTCTTTGTTTAAGGTTAAAAATACTGCTTTTCTCGTTTCTCGCCACTCAAGCACATATAATTTTAAAGTATTTGTTAAAGCTTAAAAACAGTGTCTTGTCCAAGTTTTTTTTACAATTAACTGATACTGACTTCGCTTACGTCACAAGCGACCACGTGCGATCGATAATTTTGGCGAACGTATGTCTTATGGGATTGGGCAATCCTATTAGGTTTGCGATTCTTGATTTGTATCAATTATTACACAGGTTTACAAAATTAAACTTTTTGACAGATGTTTTTATTTTGATAACCGATTTCATATAATTCTGGTATGCTGATTTCAAAAATTGCTTGCATTTATTTTTATCAGGTAAGGTTTTTTATGCAAATATCAAGAGAAAAAAAACTATACTTCTAAAATAGTTTATTTTTTTATTCAGTTAAAATGTGGAATCTAGTCAAAAAAAAGTAAAAAAAAATACTATACTTAGACTTTTTTGAGTGAAATCCAGGCGTTTTTCTCGATATTAGTCATTTTGTTTTGCTAATCCTTGTTTTTGCATAATGTTCATAATATTTCAATCACCGTCCACTTTGTAAGAATGGAAATTTTGTATAACCCCCCTGTTGTCCTAGGAGCATGCAAAGCAGTTTAAGGTCACCACACCACATATGTTCTTGGTAGTTTATTTTGCTATGCTATGCTATAGCTATGTTAGCTAACATCGAACAAACACATTCATGTTATAGGTATGTATATTAATAAAATAACATTTTTACGATATAGAGCGCCAACAGAGCAAAAATATGGCGTTTCTTTGAAAAAGGGCCCCAAAAAATATACTAATAAGCAAACATCTTTCAAACATCAAAATCACTGTAGACCTGTCTTAATAATAATAAAAGGAAAGAAAAATTGTGTTTCACCAGCACCTAAAAAAAGAAGGTATAAAGTAATAGATTGTACCGCATAGACCTAGAGAATTTAACGGTTTTTCTTATGAAAAGAAAGTTACCAAAAATATACAATTAGTCTAAACTATAGTTAAGTATTGGTTCATTTTTCAACAAAATATTTCGAATACGTTGGGAATTCATTTTCCCTACCAAAAATATAAGAAGGCAAGATCGTATAACCTTTGAAAGTGAGAAAATACTTTTAGCCAGCGAATCTAACAAAGTTAGAAAATTAAATATAAATTTAAATATCTCATTCCAAAAAAACTCCCAATTTTCAATTTTCTTTCAAAAATCGGAATTATTTGGGAAATTATGTAGTACAAAAAAAATAAAAACAAATCTTTGACAAACTCTATTTCAAAAAAGAAATTAATTAATACCACGCTATAAAGAAATTAATTTTAACTAAAAACTAAAAAGTAGAGACCTTCTTGTTTATAAATTCTGATTTAGTTGAAATTTGTGATACATAGATAAATAATTATCTTTAAAGTGTTCACATAACAAATTTCTGTCTTTTCAAGAAAATATGAAGTTTATCTAGCTAGAAAATAATAGGGTAAATAAACTATTGTAACAAGTATATGTAACAAACATCTTCTTCGCTTCGGCAAGTTGATCATATTGTTAATTCAAAATCGTTATTGTTTATTTATCCTTGAATTTTAGTCAATATTTTAAAA